TCGCCCCCTCCCACTCTTCCCCAAGTCTCCATAGTCCACTGTATCATTCTTATGCGTTTGCATCCTCATAGCTTAGCTCTCACATATCAGTGAGAACATACAATGTTTCATTTTCCATTCCTGATTTACTTCACTTAGAATAAGAGTCTCCAGTCTCATCCAGGTCGCTGCAAATGCTGTTAATTCATTCCTTTTTATGGCTGTGTAGTATTCCATCTTATGTATACATGCCACAATTTCTTTACTCATTGGTTGATAGACATTTGGGTTGGTTCCACGATTTTGCAATTGTGGATTGTGCTGCTATAAGCATGCATGTGCAAGGATCTTTTTTTGTATAATGGCTTCTTTTCCTCTGGGTAGATACCTAGTAGTGCATTTGCCCATTTTTAAATTAGATTTTTTTTTCTTTTTCTTTTTCTTTTTTTTTTTTTTTTTTTTTGCTATTTATTTGTTTGAGCTCCTAGTATATTCTGGTTATTATTCCCTTGTCAGATGGATAGTTTGTAAATATTTTCTCCCATTCAGTGCATTGTCTCTCTACTTCATTGATTGTTTCCTTTGCTATGCAGAAGCTTTTTACCTTGATGTAACACTGTGTATTTTTACTTTGGTTGCCTGTGATTTTGCAGTCTTACTCAAAAAAATCTTTACCTAGACCAATGTTCCAGATCATTTTCCAAAAGTTCTCTTGTAACAGTTTTATAGTTTCATGTCTTATATTTATTTATTTAGTCCATTTTGATTTAATTTTTGTATATGGTGAGACATAGGGTTCTGTTTTTATTTTTCTGCATATGGTTTTCTGAGCCCCATTTATTGAAGAGATTGTCCTTTTCCCATTGAATGTTCTTGGTATCTCTGTCTAAAATAAGTGGGCTCTAAATGCGTGGATTTATATTTGGTTTTTCTTTTCTGTTTCATTGGTCTATGTGTCAATTTTTTAAGGCAGTACCATGCTGATTTTATTACTAGAGCTTTGTAATTTATTTTGGAGTCAGATAGTGTGATGCTTCCCACTTGGTTTGTTTGTTTGTTTGTTTATTTGCTCAACAGTAAGTTGTCTGTTTGGGGTCTTCTTTTGTGGTTTCATATAAATTTTAGGATTACTTTCTTCTACATCTGTGAAAAATGTTATTGACATTTTGATAGGGAATGCATCTGATCTGTAAATTGCTTTGGGTATTATTGACATTTAAAAAATATTAGATTTTTTAAATCCATGAACATGGAATATCTTTCTTTTTTTGTGTGTTTTCTTCAATTTCTTTCATTAATGTTTTATACTTTTTTGTATAAAAATTTCACTTATTTGGTTAAATTCATTCCTAGTTATTATATATTTTTGTAGGTATTATAAATGTGATTGCATTCTTGATTTCTTCTTCAGATTGTTTGCTACTGGCATATACAAGTGCTGCTGAATTTTGTATGTTGATTTTGTAACCTGCAACTTTACTGAATTCATCTCAGTTGTATCAGGTTTTTGGTGAATTGCTTAGGGGTTTCTAAATATATGATCATGTCTGTGAATAAGGCTAATTTAACTTATTGCTTTCCAATATGGATGCTCTTTATTTCTTTCTCCTGCCCAATTGCTCTGGCCAGGACCTCCAGTATAATAATGAATAAATGTGGTAAAAGTGAGCATTATTTTCTTGTTCCAGATCTTAGAGGAAAGGGTGCCAACTTTTCCTCATTCAGTGTGATGGTGGCTCGGTTTGTCTTAGTGGCCTTTATTATTTTGAGGTGTGTTTCTTGTATACCCAGTTTATTGACAGTTTTATTTCATAAAGGGATGTTAAATTTTATCAAATGCTTTTTCAGCATCTATTGAAATGATCACATGGCTTCTGTTCTTGGTTTTGTAAATGTATTGTATCATTTTTATTCATTTGCATGTGTTGAACCATCCTTGAATCCCTGAGATGAATCGCACCTGATTGTGGTGAATGATCTTTTAAATGTCATTTTTTTGTTGTTGTTGTGTCTTTGTCTGATTTTGGTATCAGGTTAATGCTGGCTTTGTAGAATGAGTTTGGATTTGTTCTCTCCTCTTCAAATTTTTGAAAAATTTGATGATAGTTGGTATTAGTTATTTAAATATTTGATAGAATTTAGCAGTGAAGCCATCAGATCCTAGGCTTTTCTTTGATAAGAGAATTTTAATTATGACTTTGATCTCATTACTCATTATTGGTTCTTTGAAGCTTTCTATTTCTTCATGGTTCAATCTTGGTAAATTACATGTGTCTAGGAATTTGCCCATTTCTTTTAGGTTTTCCATTTGTTGGCATATGATTATTTTTAATAGTCTGTAATGATTCTTTGTATTTCTGGGGTTTCAAGTGTAATGTCTCCTTTTTCATTTATCATTTTATTTATCTGAGTCTTCTCTGTGTTTTTCTTAGTCTAGCTAAAGATTTGTCAATTTTGTTTATCTTTTTAAAAATGACTTTTTGTTAGTTGATTTTCTGAATTGTTTTTAGTCTCAACTTCATTTATTGTTGTTCTGTTCTTTATCATTTCTTTCCTTCTACTACTAATTTTGGATTGGTTTGTTTTTGCTTTTGTACTTCCCTGAGGTGCATGGTTAGGTTGTATATTTGAAGTCCTTTTTTTTTTTTTTTTTTTTATGTAGGCATTTATTGCTATAAATGTCTCTCTTAGTACTGCTTTTGTTGTGTCTCATGGATTTTGAGATGTTGTATTTCCCTTTTCATTTGATTAAAGACATTTTAAAATTTTCTGAATTTTTTTTCATGAACCCATTCATCATTCAGGAGCATGTTTCAAAATTCTCATGTTTTTGTATAATTTCTGAGATCTCTCTTGTAAATAATTTCTAGTTTGTTTTCACTGTGGTCAGAAATGATATAATAATATAATTTCTACTTTGTTGAATTTTTTGAGACTTGTCTATCTTAAGCCACATGGAGGATGTTTCATGCAATGATAAAAATAAAGTGTATTCTGCACCAATGTTGTGAAATATTCTGCAAATGTCACTTAGGCCTGTAATGGCTATTGTGTAGTTTAACACTGATGTTTCTTTGTTGATTTTGTGTCTGGACAATCTGTGCATTAACGAGTGGGATGTGAAAGTATCATACTATCATTGTATTGTAGTCTGTCTCTCTTTTTAGAGCCATTAATGTTGGCTTTGTATATGTGGGTGCTCTGCTATCAGGTGCATGGACATTTATACTTGTCATATTCTCTTGCTGAATTGACTTTATATGGTGACTTTCCTCATCTCTTTGTATAGTCTTTGACTTGCAGTATGTTTTATTTGATATGAATGTAGATACATTTCCTCTTTTGTAGCTTCCACTTGCAAGGAGTATCTTTTGCAATCACTTCACATTCCAACTATGTGCATCTTGTAGGCAGCAGATAATTGGATCTTATTTCTTTATCATTCAAGGCACTTCATGTCTTTTAATTGGAGAATTGAGTTTTTTACATTTATTGTTACCTTGATAAGTAAGGACTTAGTACTGTCATTTTGTTGCTTGTTTTCTGGTTGTTTTGTAAGTCATGTTTTTCTTTCTTTCTTTTTTTAATTGTATTTTTTTGTGGTTATTTTCTAAGGTAGTATGTTTTAATTTGTTTCCTTTTATTTTTAGAGTATCTAGTACAGGTTTTGGCATTGTACCTCATTTTACCATGAGGTTTAAAAACACATCATACAGATATAACAAGTTATTTTTAAAAGGTGGCAACTTGTCTTAGATCACAAAAATAGAATAGAAACAATGAAAAAACTAAAAATTAAACTCTACGATTTAACTTCATCTAACCCATTTTGACATTTCTTTGTCTCAATTTACATATTTTAATATTGCCCATCTCTTAGTAGGTTAGTATAGCAATTATTAGCTTTGATAAATTTGTCTTTTAACATTTATACTAGAGTTTTGAGTGAAATGTATCGCACAGTTAGAGAATTAGAGTGTTTTACAGTTGTATACTTAATTTTACCAGTGGGATTTATACCTTCAAATGTTTTCTTTCTGTACATTGGCATTTCTTCTTTTCAGACAGAAAAATTCCTTTTAGCCCTTCTTGTAAGACAGGTCTGGTGGTGCTTAATTCTCTCAACTTGAAGGATAGCTCTGCAGCATACAGAATTCTCGGATGGCAGTTTTTTCTTTCAGTACTTTGAAAATATGCTTCTGCTTTCTAATGATGTCTCTGGTTTCTATTGAGAAGTCTATTGCTAGATGAATTGAAGAATTTTTACCTGTTATTTACTTCTTTTGTTGCTTTTAGGATGTTCTTTTTGTGCTTGACTATTGAGAGTTTGATTATTATATTCCTTGGCGTAATCTTATTTAGGTCAATCTGTTTGGTGTTCTCTTACATTCCTATAGGTGGAAATGTACATCTTTCTCTAGTTTTGGAAAGTTTTCTGTTATTATTTCTTTGAATAAGATTTTTTCCCCTTGCTCTAGCTCAGCTCTTTCATGAACACCAATAATTCTTAGATTTGGTCTTTTGAAGTAGTTTTCTTTATTTCATAGGTGATCTTTATTTCTTTATTTTGTCCTCAAACTGTATTTTCAAATAGGTTGTTTGAGCTCATTGATTCTTTCCTCTGCTTGATCCATTCTGCAGTTAAGAGCTTCTAATGAATTTTTCAGTTCAGCAAATGTATTCCTTACTTCCATGATTTATTTAATTAAAAAAATTATTTCAATCTCTTTGTCAAATTTCTTTCATAAGTTTCTGAATTGTTTTTCTGTGTTATCTTGGAGATCGAGTTTCCTTCAAACTGCTATTTTGAATTTTTGGTCAGAGAGCTCAGTATTAACATGTCATTAAGGTCAGTCACTGGATACTTGTTTTGACCATTTGAGGAAGTCATGGTATCTTGTTTTCTATTGTTTCTAGTAAATGTATGTTTATTTATTCATATTGATAGATTAGTTACTTATGCCAGTCTTCTCTGTCTGGATTGTTTTGTTTTCTATTGCATTTTTTTGGTTTTGCTAGAGTTTTTTTTTTTTTTTTTAATTTTTGAGTTTCTTCCTCCCCGTCCCCTGCCCCACTGGGTTGCTGCCTTTTTGTTTAGCACTAGATGGCACTTTAAGCCATGGTTTGCTTAAGGTTTAGTAACAGATCCTAGCACTATTTATCCCCAAAGGTGGAGGTCCTAAATGGGATATGTGATAGTGTGGGAAAGCTGAATGAGGGGTTGTGCCCAGGGGCCCTGTGGAATGAACAACTAACAGCATGGTGCTGCTAAATAGCCACTTTGAATGATGTCCTTTTTGGCTGAGTTACAGAGCAGAGTTCTCAGGATTGTGGGTGATAAAGTCCCACTTCCCACCTTGTGCCTGGCTGTCCTCAGGGATAGTTCTCCCTATGGGCATTTGTGATGCTTCCCGTGGTTTAAGGCAGGATCAGATTTCCTGCCAAGGAACTCAAGATGGTGGAGAAGCTGTTTGTCTGCCTTGATCTCAGATATTCCAGTGTACACCACATAAGCTTGGGGAAAATTTTCTGCATTCTTGGTGTAGGACAGATTGAATTTGGTGTGTTTCAGATGTAGAAATCTAATTCTCTTATCTGTTTGGATTTTTTTTTTCACTTCTCTCTGACCCTGGAACTGCCTAATCTTCATATTTGAGTTCTGGGATATTGCTGGTAACAATCTCGGCACTGTATGTTTGATTTTGGTTTACTCAAGGAGGTAGGTGAGTTAAGCCAGGTAGCTTTTATACTGCCATTTTGGAACTGGAAGATCATCTTTTTGTGATCTGGTATTCTGATAACCAAGAAGGCTGCTAACTGACTAACGGGCAAGTAGCTTGTCAGATGTTATAGGGCTGATTACCTTAGAGCCACATAATTCATTTTTTCTTTAAATGTGCTGAATGCTACTCCTGTGCTAATTTGCTTTATGCCTGTCTCTGTCCCTAAATCATATGAAACTGCTTTTCCTGGATTATCTATCTTGCACTATCATTGCTCTCTGTTACAGGATGCTGCAAGGGTTTTTGCTAACAAATTGCTTCTTGTGTTCTATAGACAAATAGTCCTGGAGTCATGAGCACCACTCACACATTCACCTTCTCTGTAACAATGCCCACTGATGCCCTATTAATCCAGATTTGCAATGCGATGGCAAAGGAACAGATGTCAAATTGATTGCAAAAGTTCCTCCAAGTGACAAGGGAGGGGTTTGTTTTCTTTCAAGATGATCTCCTGGCCCTGTGTGGTCCCCCAGCTTTACACCCTGCATGAGAGAAAACCTTCCATGGGCCTCACTCTTGCAACAGATAGACCAGATATACCCACTGGTGAGGTCTGCAGGACAGTTTCCTCCATGCCGTCCTAGGGACCAGAATCAGGAGATTAAGGTCCAGATTGTGAGGGCAAACTGCCCTTCATGAATGAACACTCAGTGTACCAAAACCTCATTGATGATTCTAAGGGTAGCCATTGTTCTCCTAAACTCGGTTTACAGACAACTGAAGGCCTTTGGGAGAAAGGTAGGCTATCACAGATGACAATAATGTTGAAACACAGAGGCCTATGGGAGAACTTTGGGTCAGAATTTTAAAGGTACTGTGGGACTGTCCCTCATAAGTTCTCACTTAAACACATTGTCACTGCCTCATACTGACCATGTCTAGCTCTTCCCTATTTACAAGTTAGAGAGAAAGAGGATCTCCTGCCATCATGGTCTTGGCAATTCTCATATCATGACCTCCCAAGAGAAATGACTGAAATCAATGATTTGTTTCTGGTTTTGAAGAGGCTGTTCTGCTGTGCTGAAGTAAAAGAGGGAAAAGCAGCTCCCACCTGTCGTCCGGTAGACATTCCCTGCTTACCTGCCTGTGCACACTTGCACCAACCTCTAGCTGTCTGCTCCTTCCAGATCTGTCTGCTCCTGATTTGCATGCCTGTTCATGGGGGTCTCCAGGACTACCTTTCCCAGAATGGCTCTGCTTTGTGTTCAAAAGGAACAGTACTACCCACCAGGAGTAGAACAGGCCAGAAACCTAGAAAGATTTCTAGAAAGAGGCTATAACCGAAGCAGAAGTGGGGATCAAGGGATGGAGGGAAAGGGCTTTTCTCAAGGGCAGAAGTAAAAGGCAGAGTGTCAACTACTTTTCTATAAATGTGTGCATATATGTGTGCATACACATATACAGCTGTAGACCGGCTCTAACTGCTGTAGGGGTAGGCCATGCTGTTTGTCTTGTATTTTTTCAAGCAAATATCACAGTGAGGGACAAGATTCTGCCTTTTTTCCTTCTCTTCACTTCTTTCTTTCTTCACCTCTACCTCCGTCTTCTTCCTCCTTATCCCTCATTACTTTTTTTCTTCTTCATCATCATCTTTTTGTCTTCATCTTTTTTCTCTCCTTCTTCCTCTCTTCTTCCTCCTCTCTCCTTTGCTCTTTTCATTTTCTGTTAACAGCCCCAATACTCTTCCAGTTATCCACATAGGATCTATTTCCAGCTGTCCCCATCCCTCCATATATCTATATTCAGCTAATCCTTGCAGAGACCCTCCTGCATCATGTCTCCTCTTTCCTGTGGTTATCATTTCCCTAGCGGACTCTAAGTCTCCTAAATTTGATCCAGTTTCCACAGTTTCCCCAACCTCCTGTGTTCCTAATATTTTTATTAAAGTAATCCTTGTAAACCTTCTGGTTCTTTGCATATATCAGCCAAGTTCTTCACAAAGCCCCAGTGGTAACTTATCACCTTTTGCTTTGAACTTCTTCTATGTCAATCCTGACCACAGTTATCATTTTCTCCTGCTATACTTTAAAGTCTTCCCGGTTGGAGCCATGTATCCTTTGCCCACAGGCCAGAGGAAGGGGAATCAAGTCCCTTCAGGAAAGTACATGGGGTATGCCTCTTTACCACCATGTTTCCTGACACCCAGGTGTAATCATACTTTCCCTACGGAAGTGCCTGGCACATAGAGAGTGCTCTTCCTGCTGCCTACACTCCTGCTAGACAGAACCCTGGCAAGGTCATCATGAGGGCTGGGATCCACTTACAGCTTTGACCCTAACCAGAGTCTGATATTGGGATGCCATTTCCTCACTCTGATATACTCGTTTTTCCATCTATATACTGTTTGGGCCAGGGGTGCTCTCAGACACCTGCAAATTAGCTTTACACTCCCCTAGGCTCTCTAGCAAGATATGCTGGAGAAAAACCTCTGAATCTTATTTCCAGCTACTGCTCAAGGAAGGGACTGTTTCCAAAGAAAATCACATTCATAAACAGGGGAGTTTTTGTGTCTTTTTTTCCTCTTTGTTCCTTTCCCTCTCTTTCTGTTAATGGCAGCCATTACTTAGAATCTTCACATCACTTAGAATCACTGAGAATCTTTCCTACCCTGGTTTACAAATTGTGTAGAATCCCTGTAGAGTAAGGTGCTCCCTTGTCTGTTTCCACTGTCTCTGACCTAATTCTTGACTGACTGGCCATTTACCTGATCTACATTAAAAGCGAGGAGAACTGTGTTCTCATCCCAGAAAAAAAAATATGTGACCTGGGCAGTTTCATTCCCCTCTCTGAGATTCATGTCTTCATCCGTAAAATGAGGCACTTGATCATCCTTGGCTCTACCTGGAGGGAAGTTGGTGTCATAGAGCTCTGGCATTGGTGATCCAGGGCCATGAACTCCAGTCACAGCTCTTCTACTAACCTAGCATGTGATTTAGTTCTAGTCCCTTTCCACTTCTGAGCCTCAGTTCCCCATCTAAACAGCTATGACCGACAATGGAGGAGTCCTAGACTCTTGCAAATGAGGAACCTAATCCCCTAATATGCCTGTGTGTTGATAAGTTCCATATCCTCTGATCTTAAGCAGATAGAGCCTTTTCTTTTCCTCTGGATTGCTTCTTGAAAGTGGATGTAGTAAAAGTCCTTTCCTTTATGCTAGATACTTTATTTTCCCAGGTAAGCTCTCCATACCTTTGCCCTGGAGCCTGTATTTATGGATTTTTCATCAGCAAAGCCTATCAATTAGTGTAATTATCTTATTGTCAACTTCAATCTTGGCCCTCTCCATGCACTGTCCCCCACCCACCTCAGGTTCTCTCTTATCTTAACTTAGTGAGCAGAGCTCCTGACTGCATCACCATAGCAACCAACAGCTAGGGCCAATTAAGCCATGACTGAGTCATTAGACACCTAAGTTGATTATAGAGTCCAGAATATTAGCTGGAGGAAAGAGGCTGAAAGAAAGAATCCAACGCAGAAGTTAGCTGCAAAAAAGGTGGGCAGCAGAGAAGCTGAATGTTTCAAATCATCCCCGACCTGGACGTCATAGGAGTCATGGGCAGGGTGTCAACACTTTGGCATGTGCCACCAGGCCAGAGGGAGGGGCACCGGGCCCATTCTCTTCCTAAGAAAATAATTCTGGACACCTCCCTGCCAACATGCTTCAGATGAAAGGATTTGTGTCTAGATTTTTAAATAGTGCCAATTACTAAACTCACCCTGAATCCTACTCCTAATCTGGTGACACTTTTTTTTTAAATCATTTTTTTTAATCATTCAGCTTTACAGAAGTTTCTTGAATGAAACAAAGGCTTTTTTTTACTTGTTTGAAGCTCTCTTTTCCCAGTCAAGTCCCCTGCTGCCTTGGCCTGTGAGTTTGGCCTGTTAATCTCAAAAGTCTATTAATTACTGTAATTAGGATATTCAAATTACAATTCTCCCCCTCCTCCACATGGGCAGCCACCCGCCTTCTTTTATGCTCTTTTAATTTCATTGAGGAAGAAAAGCTCTTGGTAGGATTGCTGTAGCAACCTGCCACCAGGGAAATTAGGCCATTGTGCATCTGGACACCGACACTCAAAGTTGACTATGGGTCTGGAAACCTGGATGGCTGAGCAAGACTGATGGAATTGAGACAAAGAGGCTCTCAGCTAGAGAGAAGGGGTATATGAGCAACTCAGAACTTCAGACAAAACCCCAACCCTAACTTTATCTTTGTCTCCGTGTGCTTCATGGAAGGAAAGCAAGAGAGTGAGAATAAGGAGGGTTGTCCCCTATTAAAGATGAATGTCTGAGTTAGACATTGGAGGGGCTTGTGCCCTTAGGTTAACTCTGCCGTAGCCACAAGCCCACACCTGTGAGTGTTTCCTTTTCATTGAGTATCCACAGTTCCTATTAAGTTACCTAATTTACACCTAAGGTTCTCATAGTGCTTGGTGCTAAGCAGTCCTGTAAGATAGAGCACTACTAGTGAAAGCACAGTGATACCATCTTTGGCACATTAGGAAGTGAAATCTTCCTAACAAACTGGATTTTTTTTTTTTCTGGGAAATGACACTAATAAAAGGCTCTGCTATTTTCTTTAAGGCTCCCTGTTTTCAATCTACCTCGTATGCCTTCTGGGAATGGTGCTGTAAATGCTTGATGGAGGGGCTGTGGGAGATGTTAATCACTAAAGGAACTAAGTATATTAGGCTATTCTTGCCTTCAAGAATTTTCTCCTGTCCCCACAACGCACCCCTGTCTACATTCACAGGCTCCCACTCATTTACACTGGGAGAGCAGTGCTCCTGGCCACATTGCCATAGCAACCAGAAGCCAGAGAGAGTAGGAGGGTGAGCCAGATATTTGACAACAAAGGTTACTGGAGTATCTATTGGAGAGTGGCTGATTCTTAGGAGGAAAACACCTTAACTCTCAGCTGCAAAAAAATAGGCCACTAGGACCTGCAGTGTTCCAACACAGTCCCCTCCCCATCCTCCATTCCTGTGCCTCCAGGTGAGGGGTAGTCAGAATGAATTTTGTTTTATGCGGAGGCCAAGGTCTGTGTTTTGCCCAGGATATGTGTCCTTTGCCTTGAAGCTGGGCAGGGGACCAGATACCAGATACCTCTTCCCGACCCACATTGTTACCAAACTAACACACGAGTGAACATATGTTCCAAATGTGCATTCCCATGGCTGCATCTCTTGTGCCTAGAATAGTGTCAAGAATATGGTAGTGCAACCTCATGCACATCCCCTGTCTACTCACTCCATGTTAGACATTGCAGTTCAGATCTTATCCTCTGCAAATCTCCACCTACTACTGGAATACCTGCAGTCTCAACTGATGACATTGAGAACATGAAAGTAAAGAAAAGCCTTACAAAACTTCTCACCTCCCTGCATCTGTAACTAGATACTCTGCTTTGCCTCTTGTCACAATGGATAAACTCTCTACACTCCTATCAAAACCCATTCCTAGAGTTGGTCACTAGATTATACCCCTTCTTGACTATTCAATGCATGATCCCAGCAATGCTGTCTGTGCTCTTTCCTACATCACCAATTTACCATTCTCTACTAGGTGATTCCCATCAGTACATAAACATTCCACAAAGTCTCCCATGCAAGTAATAAAAAACCAAACAACAACAACAACAACAACAAGAAAGAAACAAACACCCCACCTTAACTGTACAACCCACTCCATCTACTGCATCATCTATTTGCCCTGTACACAGAAGTTCCTCAAAAATCATTGCCTGTTCTTGATTTCTTCACTTTCTCTACTCCTGTGTTTTTTCTTGAACCCACCCCACTCAAGCTTTTGTCTCCACCACTCCATGGGAATAGCTCTTCTCAAGGTCCCCAAATAACCTGCATATCGCTAAACCTAGTGATCATTTCTCAATACTGGTCTTACTTGACTGAAAAGTAGAATTTGACAGTTGATCACTTCCTTCTCCTTGTAATACTTTCCTCACTTAGTTTACAGGACATTTCTGCCTGTTGGTTGTGCTTCTCGTTCAGTGTCTGCTACTTTTCAGAATTATGGGTAGTTACTCCTCACTGCTTTGACTTCTTCGCATTGCAGTGCTCTAGGGTTGGCCTCTCAGACATGTTCTCGTCACCTATGCTCACTTGCTAAGAATCATACACAGTTCTATCCATGTCTTTTCTCATACCCACACATAACAGAATCACACATTAATGTTTCAAGCTCAGTCCTCTCTCCGGACTCCAGGCTCATGTTTCATTGTCTATTCAACATCACCACTTGGATCTCTGAAAGTCATTTTAAATTCAAATTCATGATACATATAACTAAGTCCCTGATTCCGTTTCCATTAAATCCACTCCTCCCATAAATTTCCCCATCCTAGGAAATATTAACTCCATCCTTCCCTTTGTTCAGTCCAAACCTTTGGAGACATTTTTGGATTCCACTCACTCTCATCCAACATTCATGTATACTGTCATTTCTACCTTCAAAAGAGACTTGGAATTCCTTCACTTCTCATTCCCCTTCATATGTATCACTCTAGTAACAATGCATCGCCATCTTTTACCTCTGTTATCACCATAGCTTCTAACTGGACCCTCTGTTATTGCCTTTTCCTCCTTATAGTCTCTCTTTGATGTACCAGACTGAGACTTTTCTGCAAGATTATGCCACTTCTCTGCTCAGAACTCTCCCATGGTTTCTTGTTACACACATCCTATCACCTACCAAACACAATAATATTTAACTCTTTAATCTCACTTCCTGTTATGGTATCTGTCCTGAAAAAGCCTCCAACTACACTAGCAATCTTTCTGTTTCAAAAACACAACAAGCAGAGAAGTAAAAGGAACTGCCATGGCCCTGGTGCTGACAGGTGTGCTCTCCTGAAACCCAGAGGCAGGGCAAGGCTTCTTGCATCCAGGGTCTAAAGTGGGTGGTATGGTGAGGAAAGATCACACTGGTTGAGACACTCTGCCCAAGGGCCTGGCCTCCAGAGGCTGGAACAGCCATGCCTTGCAGAGTCCTACCCTGAACACTTACTTGTATGAACAACCTCAGTGGTGTCATGCCAATGGTCTCATAAAAACCAAGCCAGCAGATAACTTCCACACTTACAGATGCTCACAGACTTGTTTCCTTCCCACAACTTTGCACACAGGTAATTGTATGATTATGTATGTCAGGAGACATATTCTCTCCAAAAACTATATGCAAGCTTGTGGGAGCCCATTTTGTTCCAATGCCCCTGAATGTGGATTACAGAGACTAATATGGTGTTAGATGGCAGGTTTTATTCACACATGTGAGAATTTGTATGTACATACATGACAGCACAAGCACACAGATAGCAGATCCATGCTAACACATTTGCACTCTTTGCTCTTTGAGTTGACCTGGTATAAGACATTAGGAGTGGTGAGGACTGTGGTCAACTGCACAGGCATTCATTTTTAAAATCATTAAAACTATTTATAGAACAAATGAAACTTGTCTTCAAGACAAGTCAGGCCATGATGTGAGTTTTTCCACCACTTATTCAGTTAAAGGAACCTGGGGTCAGACGAGAGATGGCAGCGGCACAAAGGTCTTTTTACAGCAAAGGCTGCAGCCAGCCCATACATCTCGTCTTGTATTCTTAGCTCCACTTTCTCACTGCTTTCAAGGCAGGGGTCCTAATCGCCCCTCCTCTTCTCACTATACTGTAAGAACTGACCAGTAGACCTAAACTATTAGCTTCAGAAGCTGTGGCTTGGAAAAACAATAGAATAGAGATGAGGACTCTCAGTTTGAGTCCTGAGGCTTCCACTTTCATACCCTTTCACCTCAGGCATTTCACTTTACTCCTTGAAGTCTTAGTTTCCCCTCTTGTAAATGAGAAAACTAGGGCTGTGGGAAGACAGTATTATACTATATGTTCTCCAAAGGTCTCATGCAAATCTAACATTCTCAGTACCAGTAAAGCATTGTTTGATGGGAAACTCCCTATCAGCCCTGCAGAGACTTGGATATTCACCCTGCTAGAAGGTATTAGTCAAAATATTAGTTCTTATTTAGCCAATTGATGGTGAGTAACCTAGGCTTGTGGTTGTCAGAATGCAAACCACTTGGGCCTTGACATAGATGGCTGAAGAAATTTACTCATTCAAGAGATATCAATAGGTCATGGGCTAACAGCTTCCTGGTTGGGGGACACTCCAACACCTGTCTTTGGTCAGTGAGACCATTACCTGACTCACCTGCAGCAGTGTGCAGGTTAAAGGTAATGAGTTGAACTTGTAGCTTGCTCCTCTCTCACTACTCGAAACCCTTTCTTCTCTCTGGAGGAAGCTGTTTCCAGCAGAGGTGGTGACAGAGAAACAGATTTCAGTTTGGGAAGTGCTAAAACCCTGAAGGGGGCAGGGTATGTTGGTGGATAGGAAAGGGTAGATCTCTGATAAATCCCACAAATTCTTCCCAGGAAATTTATCGACTGAGAATTTTTAATTCTCAAGTGTTTAGTTTGGTGACTTATATTTACCTAGATAATCACTTCTTTAATCCAGGTTTTCAAAGGCTTTTACTCCACTCTTCCTTTTATTCTGTTAATTTCTTCTCTGTTGCTGTTTTAAAACAAACAGAAATACTCAGCTAAAAAATGGTATTGGTGAGAGGAGAAAGCAGTTTCAAAGAGTTACGAATTAAGAATCTGAATTGAGATCTGAATGGTAAGAGTCCATTTGCTTCAACTCTCTAAGCTCTAATGAAGTTTGAACCCCCAAGTGAGGTTCCAAAGTAACCATTATTCCCAGTGGGTAAAATTCCTCTGGCCTCTTGTCCTGTTGAACTCCAAGGCCGGGTCATAAAATTGCTTCAAATTGCAAGAAATGAGCACGGGATGCTTCCCTCTTCCTGGCCAGGACCTGTTTCTGTCATAGCCAATCACCAATAAAGCCCAGTGCTTCTCTCATAGTCCCAACCTTCTCATCCACTCTTTTTTTTCTTCTTATTTTTTATTTTTATTTTTTTATTATACTTTAAGTTCTAGGGTACATGTGCACAACGTGCAGGTTTGTTACATATGTATACATGTGCCATGTTGGTGTGTTGCACCCATCAACTCGTCAGCACCCATCAACTTGTCATTTACATCAGGTATAACTCCCAGTGCCATCCCTCCCCCATTCCCCCTCCCCACAATAGGCCCCAGTGTATGATGTTCCCCTTCCCGTGTCCAAGTGATCTCATTGTTCAATGCCCACCTATGAGTGAGAACATGCGGTGTTTGGTTTTCTGTTCTTGCGATAGTTTGCTGAGAATGATGGTTTCTGGCTGCATCCATGTCCCTACAAAGGACACGAACTCATCCTTTTTTATGGCTGCATAGTATTCCATGGTGTATGTGGGCCTCATCCACTCTTATTGCCTCATTGAGGGCTTTCGAATATTCAGGATACAGTGTAGGAGTCTTACCAAAATCCCAGATGAGCAGCTTTCAGTCATAACTTAGGAAGATGCTCTCAGGCCTTGAGTTCCAGACTCAGCCCAGACTCACTATGATCTTAGAGTGTCTTGTGAACTTTAACCAATGGCTCATGCAGTCCCCAATCCCTGGTGAATAAACTTTTCTCCATATCAAATACCAGCACAGGGCTACACCATCCAACACTGCATTATTCCTCGAAATTCATTTATTTTTTTTGTTCACTCAACACCTCGACACATAATTGATGAGGCACTTTCTACATGGCAGGCACTGTGCAAGAGACTGAGGGTGAACTGATGAGTGGCTTATCCTTTTGGTGGCCTGTTGAGACATAATAATAATAGTCATGTTGAGCTCTGAGAGTAAAATGGAAGCAGCAGTACACTTAGGAGGGACCAAAATATCCCATCCCTTCCTTCCTCATCAACTTTTAATTTGTGGATCCTCAAGGCTGAATGGACCTGGAAGCCGCCTGTCTGTATAAAGACATTCATTTGTGGCCTTCCATTTCAAGTAATTGAGTTTGCATATCTATATCAGACAAAGGATCCTCCAGACTCCCTTCACATTATAGCTCCCTCTAAACAGTTTCAAATTGGGACAACAGAAAGTGTTTGCTTTTCATCAATTCTTTAGGTAATTTTGAGTTACCTCTCGAAGCTGAGGAGTCTGGTCAGAACCTATTGGGAATAGCCACCATTAACCTAGAAAGAGATCATATCATTACATCAGGAAATTTATCATTGGTTTCTCTCCACCAAGTATTCCTACATGTTTCCCATATTTTTCTCTCTTTACCTTCCAGGGTAATATTGACATATTGAAAACATAATGAGTTTATAATTTACTTATTTGCTGTCTTTCTTAAAAATGTTTTTCCAAGGTGGCAGACAAGAGGCTTTGTTGGAGCACCTCAGCCAGTTGGAATGAGAAAAAAAAGTGTGTAGAGATTCACACTGTGAACTTTTATCCAAGATCAAAAACAGGAGCTCAATAGAAAGAGTGAAGGAATCTTCAAATACTTTTTTATTTTTTTTTATACTTTAAGTTCTGGGATACATGTGCAGAACGTGCAGGTTTGTTACATAGGTATATATGTGCCATGGTGGTTTGCTGCACCCATCAACCTGTCATATACATTAGATATTTCTCCTAATGCTATCCCTCCCCTAGCACCCCACTCCCTGATAGGCCCTGGTGTGTGATGTTCCCCTCCCTGTGTCCATGTGTTCTCATTTTTCAGCTCCCACTTATGAGTGAGAACATGCAGTATTTGGTTTTCTTTTTAAAAGTGGCAGGTCTGGTAGAAAACTGGAAGTCTTCAGAGCATGAAAGCAGGGAGACTGTCTCCACAATACACATTCTCACTGGAGAACCAGGCAATCCAGGCCATGGGGATGCTCCTCGACTCTGACTTCAAGTAATGCATCTGACTTGGTGAGTGGAGGATGAAAGATTCTCCCCAGGGCCTGAAAGCTTGAAGGGATGAGTAATTCCTCCCTTCTCAGGCCCAGTCCCAAGGCACAAGGCCACTTGTGCTAGCAGCGTGCATCAGCAAGATAGCAGAAGCAAGAAGAGAGCTGGCTGGAAGACACCTACCCTGGCCGGAAAACACCTACCATGGCCAGAAGACACATACCCCTGAAGATTAAGAAGGAAGCCAACCCAAATGTCCATCAGTGACAGATTGGATTAAGAAAATGTGGCACATATACACCATGGAATACTATGCAGCCATAAAAAAGGATGAGTTTGTGTCCTTTGTAGGGACATGGATGCAGCTGGAAACCATCATTCTTAGCAAACTATCACAAGAAACAGAAAACACAACCCCATGTTCTCACTCATAGGTGGAAACTGAACAATGAGATCACTTTGGACTCAGGAAGGGGAACTCACACACCGGGGCTATCATGGGGAGGGGGGAGGGGGGGGGATTGCACTGGGAGTTATACCTGATGTAAATGACGAGTTGATGGGTGCAGGCACACACAAACATGAGACGAGTATTCATATGTAAAACTCTTGCACCTTATGCACTATGTCCTACACACTAAAAGTATAGATATTAATTAGATCAAATTATAAAAAAAAATAAAAGCTTTTACTAGAAAAAAAAAAAAAATAAAAAAAATGCGAAGCCATCTGGGTACCACATAGCAGTTACGTCAGACTGGGACACTTCCTGTTTACAGGAGACTATAAAACCCCTGCCCTGACCTCACTTGGGGCTGACGCCATTTTAGGGCTCAGCCCGCCTGCACCCAGGTGATCATTAAAACACCATGTTGCTCCACATTGCCTTGTGTTGACTGTTGGCACACTCTCGGCATTTGAACCAATACAAGAACCTTTTATCTGGTGCCAAAACCTGGGAGGGGCTCAAGTCTGCATCCCCCATGGACCTACCCCTCCTCCCTGGAGAGCAGGCCACAGCTGCTGGACAAAGGAAGCTCCTCAGCCTCCAGTCACCTCTGTGCATGCACATCAGTCACTGATCTCACCTACTGGTAAGTTTCCCCAGGAGCCCAGTTAACAGAGAAAAAGCCACATGGCCTCTCTTGGTTTCTCCAGTCCTAAAATCCAATGCTGGTCCAAGGCTTCGTCGTGTGCCAGGCACTTGCTGATCATCTGGTCTTAGGGGGATACCTCTAAGCCATTTGATCCTGTTCTGGGAATGAAAAAGGAAGCGGTGATGATCACTCCTTTTATCCTCTCCCTCCAGCCATCCAGGATGGTCTCCTTTTTCCCTGTTCTCCTGAGCTGACCCTCCATTATGGGAAACTCCCGGTCCTCCATTCCAAAAAACAGCCCTGTAGGCTGTCTCATAAAAAACCTGCAAACCTTAGGCCTCAGGCAGAATATCCACCCTAAGTGCCTTGTATTTTTTGCAATACAGGCTGACCACAGTATGAATTAGATAATGGGTCCAAATGGCCAGCAAATGGAACATTCTACTTTACAATTTTAACTGTCTTAAGCAATTATTGCTGATGACTGGAAAAGTGGAGAAAAATTCCTTATGTCCAGGCTTTTTTTGCACTCAGATTACAACCAGACCTCTGCAATTTTTGCTCACCTGCTCAAATCCTTCTCCTCCATTCTCACCACTCAGATTGTCTTTCTCCCCACGACCCTACCTGTTTTCCCTGGTTCCATCTAGCTGACTGCTGTCCACCCCTCCCAGCCCCTATCTCTTCCTCTCAACCACTTCTGGCTTCTTCCTTCTCTCCTGCCCATACTCGCTCAGGAGCCACCTTTGGCCCATGCCCCACCCTTACTCCAGCACCAGTGCTAGAGTGCCTTCTTCGGGAAGTTGCAGGATCTGAAAGTATTGTTAGAGTTCATGGTCCCTTATCTCTCGCTGATCTCTCTCAAATTAACAAAAGACTTGGTTCATTTCCAGAAAACCCTACTTCTTATATTAGGGAGTTTCAGTACCTTACCCAGTCTTATGAACTAACCTGGCATGACCTCTATGTTATCCTCTCTTCCACCCTTAACCCAGAAGACCAAGACCATATCTGGACCCTAGCTCAGGCACATGCTGATACAGTTCATCACCAAGCTCCTTCCCAGCCTACTGGTGAAGAGGCAGTCCCCAAACAGGACCCCCACTGGGATTATCAAGACGGGGCCTCTGGACACTGCCATCAAGACCACATGATTGTGTATCTCCTTGCAGGACTCAAAAAGGGTGCCCATAAAGTGGTAAACTATGAAAAATTTTCAGAAATCACCCAAGGTCCTGACAAAAACCCAGCCCCTTTTCTCTCTCATTTAATTGAAGCCATGAGAAAGTATACCAACCTAGACCCAGCCAGCCCAGAAGGATTCACTATCTTAAACCTTCTGTTCATCTCCCAATCCACCCCCAATCTTCAGCACAAGCTTCAGAAGCTTGACAACAGTCCTCAAACCCCACAATGAGACCTGCTTAATTTAGCCTTCAAAGTCTTTAACAATCATGATAAGGAAAGTAAAAGGCAAAAACAGGCAGAGTTTCAAATGCTTGCCTCCACCATCAGAGGCCCTGCACGCCCACAGGGCTGCAGCTCCACATGGAAGCCTCCTAGCAATCCACCTCCACCTGGTGCCTGTTTCAAGTGCAGCAATGAAGGCCACTGGTCCAGACAATGCCAAAAGCCAGGTAAGCCCACCAGGCTGTGCCCCCTCTGTGGAGGACCCCACTGGAAGTTGGACTGAGAGTGACCCCTGCAAGAACTCCCCCATCCGTTCCTGAGCCAGCCCTCTTATTCTTATTCAATGGCTCTCTCATCAGCAAACTCCTTCAAGCTGCCAGACTCCTGCAGAGAGTTGCCATCACTATTGAAAACCTCCTACTTGGATCTCATCAGCCTTGCCACTGAAGACTGACGGTGCCCTGGAGCAGACACTCCAGCAACTACCATCTCTTCATCCAAGCCAAGGGTAACCCTGATGGTGGCAGGTAGGCCAGTATGTTTTTTAATTGATACTGGGGTGACCTAATCTGCTTTGCCTAATTTTTCAGGACCCACCCAATTCTCACAAGTCTCTATTGTGGGAATTGATGGGCAAGTCTCCAAACCCCATGCCACCCCTCCACTCTTCTGCGCCTTTTACCTCTTTTCCTTCACTTACTCTTTCTTCGTCCTGCCCTCATGCCCAACTCCACTCCTAGGCAGAGACATCCTTTCAAAACTCCACACTACTCTCCATTTCCACATGCCCCATAGTACCCAATGCATCCACACAGACCCCTCTGGTACTTCTAGTTTTCTTCTACTCCTTCAACCTCCCACCCTAAAACATGCAACATTTCCTTATCCCCCATCC